GGGGGGGGGGGGGGGGGGGGGGGGGGGGGGGGAGCGCCGCGATGAGCAGGACAACCTCGGAGAGGCTGTGGTGCGGCAGCATGCTCCCGCGAATGGGTAGCGGCGAGACTGACGCTGTCGATGTGCGCATATCATCTCCTCTCCTTAGTGATCATTCCCAAGGAGAACCGCCGAGCCATCTACTCTGCTCTCTTCAAGGAGGGTGTGCTTGTAGCTCCCAAGAACTTCGAGATTGCACATCCGGAGCTCGAGGATGTTCCCAACCTCCAAGTGATCAAGGCTTGCCAAAGCCTCACTTCTCGAGGCTACGTCCACACTCAATTCAGCTGGCAATGGTACTTTTACACTCTGACCAACGAGGTGAGTTGCGCATTGTCTGCTCGTCTTGCCACGCTGCAGCGTAGCGGGGGGGACTGGATGCGCAATCGCTTACCTGGATCTGCACTGCCGTCCGGCTCGACAGGGTCTGGAGTACCTGCGCGAGTACCTTCATCTCCCAGCTGAGATTGTTCCCGCAACGCACAAGCGTCCTGCTCGTCCCTCTCGTCCCTTGGGAGGTGCAGGGGGTGCCCGCGATGGCGCTTACCGTCCACCTCGCGGCGACCGCGATGGCGGAGATCGCGAGTACCGCAAGAAGGAGTCTGCCGCTCCTGGCGACTACCAACCTCGTTTCGGAGGCGTTGGTCGTGGAGCCGGTGCACCCGCTTCTTAAAGCACCCTCTAATGCGATAGTAACGCTACGCTAGCACCAGGCGGGACTAGCATCGCGGACAATCAAAAAGGGGAGAATGGGACGCGCTAATGGAGCTTCGAAGCCTCGTCTGTGATGAGCATCCGATTCTCGAGCGTCGGGCAGGCGCCCTTAGTCCTTCCTCTCTCTCACACCATACTTGTACCTTTCACATCATGCACCCTACACCACCATGTCCCCCCTTCTCCGAGGCCCGAGGCTCGTGCGCCCGCAGCGCTCTCCTCTGACTCCCCTTTGTGTTCTCACTGCCGTCTCTGCGCGTTTCATCGTGTAATGAAAATGGCAGCGTAGGACCATTTGATCTCGCGTGATGTGGCTTGTCTAGACTCGCCTCAGCCTGGAAGAAGTCCCCGCGTCTGCTGGCCCGATAGGATGCGCCTCGACATGCCTCGATGCACAGTTGTTCAGGGCCTTGATACACTGCACGCACTCATCAAGACGAACGACACACCGTGCAACGAAGGCGAGCACATTTGCAAGAAAAAGCTGGCTTTCATCGTCAGAAGATCTGACCAAGCACCCGATCGAGCGCATCGTCGGGAAGGGACGTATGTTTGGTGCGCTTGATGAGCCTCTTCGAGTCCGAGTCCAGGTCCAGGTCCATCTTTGCCTGCTTGTCCCTCACATCCGAACTCAAAGCTCTGCGCTGTCTAAAAGTGTGCGTCCTCTCGCTTTGCATTCGCTTCTTGCTGCCAGATGCGTCGGGGTCCTGCGCCGAGCCGGTGAGAGAGTCGGATGTAGAGGCGGAGGCGGAGGCGGAGACGGAAGCTCGACGCGCTTCGAGCCGCTCCAGTTTGGACCTTTGCACGCGGGCCCTTTCGACCTTTTTGAGATAGTCACGTTGCTCCGTTGCGGATTGAGAAAGCTCAGCTTGCAAGCGGGATTTGTGAGATGCTCTTTCGTTTGCTGAAGAGTGGATGGGAAAGGGAAGAGCGTAAGAATGGCACAGGAGGGTGGATGGACGGCTACCATGGTCGCATTCGCATGTAGCATTCGATGCCATGGCGTCGATTCTTGCGCACCGCACCGCACCGCACCGCACCGCACCGCACCGCACCGATCCTCCACAGCCGCACCGCACACACACTCACCCAATTGTTCGCTCAACCTGTTCCATTTGAAGCCGGGCAAGTAGCGCATCGTCCAAACCTCGTCCCTCCATCTTCGCTTGCTATGACCCAAACCGCCCTTTTTCGCCCCACCTCCACCTCCTCCAAAACAGCTTCCCATCGCCACACCAATAGGTTGAGCGTTGAGCAGCTCGGCTGTACCCCTAGCCACTCTCTTGTCCTCGAATTCCACCCATCCTTCCGTATAGTTGGCCGATACGTGTTTCTTCCTCTTCTCCCTTGGCCCCTGATTCGACCCCTTCGCTTGTGCACCCGCACTGCCATCTTGAAGAAAGAGGCGAGAAACGTCGCCGAATTGAGAGAGCAAGTGACGCACTTTGGACGGTGTCATGCCTCGAGGAATGCGCGAGATGTAGATCAAGCCTTTACGCTTCTCTTTGGCCTCGTACGCCTCTAGCTCGGCCCGAGTCAAAGGCTTGACCGTGCGCGAGATTACCGGATCTTCTTGAACACCATCTGAATGCTCTTCTGCCAAGTTTGCATCCACTCCATCCTCCTCCTCCTCCTCATCCTCTTCCGCGTGCGGTGAGGCTGCAATGGCGCGTGATGAAGACTCTGGCGATGGCGCTTCGCTAATCAGCAAGTTCCTCTTGCGCTTCTTTGCGGCCGCAGCAGCGATACTTGAAGGTCCAGCTGCTCCCTCCCACGCGCTGATATCGAAGCGCGAATCCTTGGCCATGCTGCTCAAGTTGGGCAATTGCCAACCTGCGTCTCTGAGCCTAATTCTGCCGTGGGAAGGTGGGAGGATGTTTTGCTTGGGGGGACGTCAATCGAGCGCCTATTTGTAGCTACCTTGCAATCCTGCGCACAGGCTCGCTGTTCGGCTTTTGTTCTGGAGGTGTGCAGAGAGAGATGGTGGAGGCAAGCTTGGGTGAAAGGAGGACAGAGTGAGAGGAAGCGAGCGGCCTTGCTCGCCCGCTCGCGCCGACCTTGAAATCTCAAAATGCCCAACTTTTATGATGAGCCTGCCACGCTTTCTCGTACGAGAGGTCTTGTCGCGCATACAGTAGCATAGCGCGCCACAATAATCCACCCGCTCGCGATTTGCTGTGCTGGTGCCTGCATCCGTGATTCATTCGCCCACTCGCGCGACGAGACAACACAGCTCGATCGAGATGTGATGCTGTGCTGTAGTGTACAGTAGTAGCTGCGCGGCTGCTGCGTGGATGTGCATCGCGCCGTGCCAGCAGCCGTCAATTCTTGATTGAGACGTCAGCAGAGCGCGCCACATGCTGTTTGTACTCACCGCGGTGCATGCGGTGCATGGTGCATGGTACATGGTGCATGGCAGGACTCAGGACTCACAACTCATCTCGGTCCGGAGCGCAGATCGCCATTATACTGTACTGCCGAGGTGCCTGCTGGGCGACGCGAGGCGCGGACCGAGCTCAGCAGCGCGCAATTGACCATGCATCAATGCAAGCAAGCAGCAGCAGCAGCATGGCAGCAGCAGCAGCAGCACTGGTCGAGTTTGCCGCGGCGTGATCTGTGACGCATGTGCGCCGGACGCGAGAGTTTCGCAAGGGTGAGGGGCGAGTCACTCGTCACTCGTCACTCGTCACTCGTCACTCGTCACTCACACTGGCGCAGGGCCGCACCCGCGTGTGTGCAAGCTTGCATCTCGATCGACCCTTGAGCCGAGCCTGTTGTGTGCCGCATCGCATGGCTGACGCCTGATCCCTTTCACTGTCACTACCACCTTGCCCATCCATTCGTGAGCGTGACTGCGAGGATGAGCACAATCTTCTTTTGATTCCGCTCATTCATCCCATCTATCCCCCCATCCTCTCCTACTCTCGACTCCATCTCAGCGAGCGAGCGCGCGAGCGAGTCAGCGCCAAATCTGCGCACTGCTCACACCACCTCTTAGCGCCTCCATTTGGGCCAAGCAACTTCATTCGCGATTCGAAATCACATTTGCCGACCAACGGCCAGCAATCTGTATTGAGCGCCTGCGACAGATTGTGATCTCTGCATCGCCACAACGCACAACACACCACACACAGCGGTGCACAGTACATTCTGCTGCGCCCGCCCTCATCACGCTCGCGCGCAGTCAGTCAGTCAGTCAGTCAGTCAGTCAGTCAGACCTCGCACTCGTGCTGAAGCGCTCTTCATTCCTGGCCCAGCACCTCGCACTCGTCTGGCCTCACTCTCACTCTTGCTCGCCCATCATCCCTGCCGCATTCTTTCATCCGCTGACTGGCTCTGTCCAGCCTCGGCCACCCCATCCTCCTTCCCCACCTGCACATCCCGCCACTGGCCGCTCCAGCTACTCTGCTGCTGCTGCTGCTGCTGCTGCTGTTCCAGGCGCACACGCACCACCCTTCCCCGCCCTAGCAGCTCCATCACCCACTACCATGGTCAACAGCCGCGCCCCGGGTCAGCTGACTCGCAAGGTCAGAATCACAGTGGTGGCTGCCGATGGTCTGTCCAAGAGGGATGTCTTTCGTCTGCCCGACCCGTTCGCCATCGTCACGGTGGATGGAGAACAGACGCACACGACTTCCGTCATCAAAAAGACGCTGAACCCTTACTGGAACGACAGCTTCGATGTCAATGTCAACGACTCTTCCGTCTTGGCGGTTCAGATCTTCGATCAGAAGAAGTTCAAGAAGCGCGACCAGGGCTTCTTGGGTGTCATCAATGTGCCCGTGGCTCAGGTGCTCGACCTGGAACTGGGAGGCAAGGTGCTGCTCACCCGCGACCTCAAGAGATCCAACGACAACCTCGTCGTGCACGGAAAGCTCATCATCGACCTGAACACCAACGTGTCCACTCCCATCGTCAACAACTCCAATGCCGGCGCTGCTCCAAACCTTTTGGTTCCCGACACCAATGCCAACGCGTCTTCTACATCTCTAGTGCCTTCTGGTCAGACGGGAGCTAATGGCGCACCCAAGCCTCACAACAGTGGCACTGCTGGCAATACGCCCAACAATGGCGGAGACGCCGGCGCATCTTCGTCTGGATCTCGTCCCTTGGTCGCCGATACCAGCGCCGTATCGTCTCGACGCAGCTCCACCACCGGAACGTCGACAGCTCCATCCGGCGCGACTGCACCATCCGCAGCTCCCCCACGCAACAACAATCCCGAGGCTCGCAGCGATGAACAAGGCGCTCTGCCACAGGGCTGGGAACGTCGCACCGATCATCTGGGAAGGACTTATTACGTTGATCACAATACCAGATCCACGACGTGGACTCGACCCAGCATGAGCAGCAACGTCAACCAGGCCGCTGCTGCCACTAATGCCGCCGGTGACCGCATGCGCCACTCCAATCGCACGCTCGCAGACGAGATGCTGGGTGTGGATGGAAGCACGGTCAACGCTGCCAGACCTGGTTCGGCGCTGCAGACTGCAGCTGCTGCTCCGCCTTCGCCCGGTGCGGCCGCTGCTGCTTCTCCAGCTGCTGGAAGTGCTGCTGCTGCAAACACCAACCTGCCAGCTAGCACCACAAGCACGACGGCTGGCACTGGACCTCTGCCAGCTGGATGGGAGCAGCGTCATACGCCCGAAGGAAGACCTTACTTTGTGGATCACAACACGCGCACCACGACCTGGGTCGACCCGCGTCGACAACAGATTCTTCGCATCATGGGTCCCAATGGCAACAACCTGACGGTTCAGCCTCAGAGCGTCTCGCAGCTGGGACCTCTACCCTCTGGATGGGAGATGCGCCTGACGTCCACTGCCAGAGTCTACTTTGTGGACCACAACACCAAGACGACTACTTGGGACGACCCGCGCTTGCCTTCCAGCTTGGATCAGAACGTGCCGCAGTACAAGCGCGACTTTAGACGCAAGCTCATCTACTTTAGATCTCAACCTGCCCTCCGACCTATTCCGGGTCAGTGCCACATCAAGGTGCGCAGAACGCACATTTTTGAGGACTCTTATGCAGAGATTATGCGCCAGCAGCCCAATGATCTCAAGAAGCGCCTTATGATCAAGTTTGACGGTGAAGAGGGTCTGGATTATGGAGGTCTCTCTAGAGAATTCTTCTTCTTGCTCAGTCACGAGATGTTCAACCCGTTCTACTGCCTGTTTGAGTACTCTGCGCACGACAACTACACGTTGCAGATCAACCCTCATTCGGGCATCAACCCGGAACACTTGAACTACTTCAAGTTCATCGGAAGGGTCCTCGGTCTGGCCATCTTCCACCGCCGCTTTTTGGATGCCTACTTTATCGTCAGCTTCTACAAGATGATCTTGAACAAGAAGATTACGCTGGCGGATCTGGAGAGCGTGGATGCGGACTACCACCGAAGCTTGCAGTGGATGCTCAACAATCCCATTGCGGATGTGGTGGAAGAGACTTTTACGGCGGTGGAGGACAAGTTTGGAGAGATGGTGACGGTGGACCTGAAACCTGGAGGAAGCGAGATGGATGTGACGGATGAGAACAAGGCGGAGTACGTCGAGCTGATGACAGAGTGGCGTATTCAAAAGAGGGTGGAGGAGCAGTTCAAAGCCTTTTCTTCTGGCTTTACGGAGCTGATTCCGCAAGATTTGATCAACGTGTTCGACGAGAGGGAGCTGGAATTGCTGATTGGAGGTATGAGCGAGATTGACATTGACGACTGGAAGAGGTACACCGACTACCGCGGCTTTACGGAGCAAGATGAGGTGGTGCAGTGGTTCTGGAAGTGCGTCAAGGCTTGGCCTGCAGAGCGCAAGTCGAGGTTGCTGCAATTCGCGACGGGAACGAGCAGGATTCCGGTGAATGGATTCAAGGATCTGCAAGGCAGCGACGGGCCTCGACGCTTCACGATCGAAAAGAGCGGAGAGATTACGCAGCTGCCGAAGAGCCACACGTGCTTCAACAGGATCGATTTGCCGCCTTATCAGAGCGAGAAGCAGCTCGAGGATAAATTGGTCCTTGCGGTGGAGGAGGGTCTTGGATTTGGAAACGAGTAGAGGAGGGGCAGGGGCGACGAAATGCGCCTCTTTTGTGTCGAAAAGTTTCTCACTCACCCTTGCACATTCCTCCACATCGACTCTGCTGCCTCATCACGCACCCCCCCGACCAAGCCCACCGAATGGCCCTGATGTTATGAAATGCTTGCTTGAACATCGTATCTTACACCCCAACCCATCATCACCCAACACTTGTGGCTATACGATCCATCCCTCGACTTGGCAAAATCCCGCATGCTCCCGCCTCCCCCCCAACCCTCACCACACACACGTCCTTTCGCGCGTCTTTGTCTTTGACGATCATGATCAGAGGTACTGAATCTATACACACTGAGAAGATCCACTTTGAATGCCTGGCCTGATGATTCGATGCGATGCAGACGGAGGTGCGGTGATGCGCGTGCGCGTGCACGGGCACGGGCTTTTGATCTGATTCAAGTGCGGAATGAGACGAGGTGAGAGATGAGCTTGAGGAGGATTATGATTGGCATGGTGAATCGTGAATGCAATGTGAATGTGAATGTGCGCGAAGGATGTGCGAAGTCTTACAGTCACAGTTGTGGGCGCGTGCGTGCGCGCTAGTGGTGAATGAATGGTGCATCACGTGAATGATGCGAGTCTGTGCAATGAAATGAATCACGAATGCATCGCTCGCTCTTCCCACCCTCACTCGTCACTCTGCACTCCATTCCTCGCCCACTCACACTCTGGCCCCGACTGACGACACACCGCGCCATTCCCACTCGCTCACTTGCCTCACTCGAGATCACCATCTCCCATCTCCATCGCTCATACTCCAACACACCCCTCTTCGAATGGCGCTGCCGCTGCCGCTCGAATGGAATGGCGCAACCAAGGACGGCGGCCCATAGAATGCAGTCCACAGCACAAATGAGCGCTGGAGCAGGAAGAGCGACGGGCACGGGCACGGGCACGGGCACCACACCATCGCCCTCATCCTCCGACAACACTTCGCTCGAAGCTTTTCTTCAGTCTCTTGTTCCACCTTTCACCAACTCCAACTCTGGCACAAGTCCTGCCGCTCTGCCTTACTCGGCACAAGTGACCCTGCTGGAATCTCACGTGCAAAGATTGAGATCCGACTTGGCGCGCGGTGTGGTAGAGAATGAAGAGAGCATAAAGAAGGACTTGAATAGGTTGCAAGCTGTGCTCGAGAAAGTCGA